AATAATAAAAAAATAAATAAATTCATCAGCTACCCCACAGAAAAAAGATGGGAAATCTCTTCTCAGGCTCTGAAAACTATACTGGAGATGATGAAATATAAAGCTTGCAAATATTTAAAGGGAAAAAACCAAAAATAAATAGTAATTAGTGTTACAGGGTTTTTTTCTCTACATGCTAATCACACGCACCCTATCCAGGGATTTTGCTCACTTGCTAGGTCTAAGTTTTGCTGTCTTTGGTTCTTAGATTATCTCTCCTTTTCTTTTTCTATTTAAAAAAAATTATATTGGTTTACTTACAAAGTTCATATACATTGTGTTTTGCACTATTTTTCATTCACATTGTCAGGGTTTTTTGTGTTTGTTTTCCCTTTTTTGTTTTTGTTTGTTTGTTCGTTTGTTTTGAGGAAGGAACTGTCTTTTTTGAAACAATAGGTTGCCTCCTAAGTGGCCGGAGGGTGCTTCGGCTTGCATGGGGTGGGGTAGGGTAGGGTGGGGTGGCGTGGTGGTGGAAGGGGCCACTGTCTGGTCCCAGGGGAGCTGCAGCGTTCAGACGCTTAGGATGTGTTTCAGAAAGGCTTCATAGTTGATGCAGCCATTGCTGTCCTCATGTCCTACCAGGACAGTCTCCTCCTCCTCCTCAGTTATCTTCTCTCCCAGCGTGGTGAAGACATGTCTGAGTTCTGCTCCCATGACTTTGCCATTTCCCTCCTTGTCCAACACCCGAAGTCCTTCCAAGTAGTCCTCATATGTGCCTTGGTCCCGGTTCTTGGCCACTGCTTGGAGTATGGGCAGCAAAGTCTCAAAGTCCACACGCTGGGACTTTAACTCATCACTCTTGGGGTTCCCCAGGACCTTAAGCACTTCGGCGTTGGTGGGGTTCTGCCCCAGGGCCCTCATGACATCCCCACACTGACTGTACAGGATCTTGCCATCACCTACTCGGTCAAACAGCTCAAAGGCTTCCTTGAACTCTTCCAGTTGGTCCTTGTTAAACTCGGTCTTTGGAGAGATCGATGGAGGGGTTCCTGGGGTGTGTCAGGAACTAGAGAGGCAGTTGGCTCAGCTTTGGCCTTGACTGGAAGGGCCCGGGATGCTGGCTTCGCAACGGGATTTGAGATAGCAGGGGTCGCTGGTTTCTTCACAGGAACATCTTTCTTGGGAAGCGTGATGTCGGATAGCCAAAGGACAATGTGTCGATGGGGGCATCCACCTCCTGCGGGATCCAGGGAAAGGGAGGGGGCGAGCTGGTTTTTTGTTTTGTTTTTTTAATTATTATTATTATTATTAATTTAATGAAAGTTTACATAGACTTTGGATTTTCATTCATTCATTGTTGCGGTTTTCTCCATGCCCACCACTCCCCCCTAGTTTGCTCTTCTCTTTGAAAAGTAAAATTCTTCCGTTGTTATACAATTCCTCCCCCCAAGTCCACTCCACTATGCAGCCTTCGTTCTGGACTCCTGTCGTGACAATAATACCTAATCACGTTGTGATTTATATACAAACATTCCCATGAATTACATTATATAAAATCAATCATCACTGGACCTTGCCCATCATTATTACCCTGTTTTTCAGGTCCCTGCCAGATCATTCCCATTTCCTTTACCCCCTCCCTACACCTACCAAACTGTACAACCCTGTAATTCACCTCTACCTATCCTCACCCATCTACTCCTACTCATTCCTACTTTGGGTGCCCATATATATTTTACTAGTTAGTTATCCTTCTATTTTTAAAATAATGATCTTAGGCAGTGTTGGTCCTTATGAGATTAAGTTAATTCACTCAGCATAATGCTCTCCATTTCTCCCGAGTTATGCTGTATTTTTCAAAATCATTACTCCTGAGTGCTGAATAATATCCCATTGTGCCAATGTACCACAATTTCTCAATCTATCCAGTTGTACTTGGACATTTGGGCTGTTTCTATGTTTCCTGCGATGGTGAATAATGCTGATGCACAAATATTCCTTTCTGTCTCAGTACTAATTTCCTTGGGGTATATTCCTAGTAGTGCAATAGCTGGATTATATGGAGTTTCTGTGTTACCTTTTTTAGGAAATGCCAAACAGCCTTCCAGAGTGGTTGTACCATTTTACTTCCTTGCCAAAATTTATTGCTTGCTGCCTGCTTAACTTTGCTGCTGCTGGTGGGGTGATATGGTATCTCATTGTGGTTTTGATTTGCTTCTCTCTTCTTACCAGTGATTTTGAGCCTTGTCCCCCACATGTGTCTGTTGGCTGTCTGAATATCTTTCTCTGTGAAAAGTCTTTCTGTGTCTTTTGCCCATTTTGTACTTGAGTTCTCAGTCTTTTTCTTCTGGAGGCCCAGTAGTAATTCTGTAAATTTTTTGTTATAAGACCCCTGTGTGAAAGAGTACTGTTAATTATTATTTCACAGTTAGTAGGCTTTCTTTTCACTCTCCTGGAAGATGTTTTCCCTAAGCACAGAGATTTAATCTATAAAAACTCCCATACATAAATTTTCTCCTTACCACATTGTGCATTTCTGGCTGTAATTGGCAGCCTCTTTATACCATAGACTAGACCTTCTAAGCTTTATCCCAGTTTGTCTCTTATGAACGTTAACATTTTGGCCTTTCCTCCCAAGTCTTTGACCCACCTTGAGTTGAATTTTTTTTCTTTTAAAATATTTCACTTTTTAAAAAATTTTTCTACTAGTTTATTTACAAAATTCAAACACACTGGGTTTTTTTGTTTTTTAATTTATTATTAATGTCAATGAAAATTTACAGAGACTTTGGATTTCCATTCATTCATTGTTGCACTTTTCTCCCTTCCCAACCCTCCCCTCTAGTACACTACTCTCTTGGAAAAGTAAAAGATAAATTCTTTCATTGTTTTACAATCCCTCCCCCCAGGTCCACTCCACTATGCAGCCTTTGCTCTGGACTCCTGTCATGACAAAAATACCTAATCACATATCCCGTTTAAACAGTTTTCTCCCTTATCTGTTTCAGTGCAGTATACATTATAGAACCTATCCTTCTCCATCTCCTCCCAACCTCGAGGTCAGTCCTGTTTTACAATAGTGGCACCGTGCGTATTTGTCCTTCTGTGACTGAGATACTTCACTCAGCGTAATGTCCTCCAGGATCACCCATTTTGAATAATATTGTATGAGTTCCTTGTTTTTCAATGCTGCATAGTATTCCATTGTGTGAATATACCACAGCTTCTCTATCCATTCGTTTGTTGATGAGCACTTAGGTTGTTTCCAACTCCTTGCTATTGTGCACAAAGCTGCCATAAACATGGGTGTGCATATACCTGCTTGGATGTCAGTTGTGGTCTCTTTGGGCTATAGTCCCAGTAGTGGAATTGCTGGGTCAAATGGTATCTCTATTAGCAACTTTTTGAGAAAGCACCATACTGTCTTCCACAGTGGTTGCACCATTTTACACTTCCACCAACAGTGAATAAGGGTTCCAGTTTCTCCACAACCTCATCAATATTTGTTGCTTGCTGTTCTGTTACATTTTGCTATTCTGACTGGGTTGAGATGATATCTCATAGTTGTTTTAATTTGCATCTCTCTTAGATCTAGGGATTTTGAACATGTGTTCATGTGCTTGTTAGCCATCTGAATGTCTTTTTGGT